CCAAAAAAAAAAAAAAAAAAAAAAAAAAAAAAAAGTACCTTGATTGGGAAATTATCTAAGCAAATGAACTCCGTTGCTTCTTGTGTGGACCGCTTTGCCAACGGGGATCGGAATGAGTAACCTCTACCTGCAACTACGTCGCAGAAGCCGCAGATGTACACACATAGGGTGACTGCCTCCACGTGAGTTTTCCCCTCTCCTCTGGCCCCTTCGCACCCAAAGGGGTCACTTGACACGACGTGAACAAAAGCTCGTTTCACCCTTCAACCTAACTGCTACTCAACGGTCCGCTTAGAAAATTCTCATTCCTCCAAAATCCCTTGCCCTATATGGGGCAGCCAATACAGGTGTTGCCTCTACTGCACACACAAAAAAATAAAGGGTCCTAATCAGCTCCATCCACTGATGGGGGCGGGGATGTTCCCCTTTAAAAGGAGCTGCCCCGGGTGGCGTGATCCCTAAGCGTTTCTCTCGCTCCATGGAGAGGTGAAAGGGGGGAATTTTTTTTTTTAAGAAAACTCTGTGGAGGCAGTGCGAAATGGTGTAGCAACTCAGTTGTGACTGTTTTTTTTTTTTTTTTTTTTTAATGAGCTTTTCAATCCCCACATGGCGCATGTCCGCTCCGCAGAGTACCATGCCCACGATACGTAAAATTACCCCCTTTTTTTTAAGGGGCAAAACTTGTGGGAACAAAAAAAAAAAAAAAAAAATTAAAGCATCACAACGCAGGAATACCCCCATACGAAACACAATCGCTTGCTGAAAACTTCACAAGCGAAGGTGACTCATGTGCGATCGCCGCTTCCCATGTAACGTCCCCCAAATTACATACCGCGAAAGGACTACTTTTTTAAAGGGGCAGCGCGCCTTACCTCCTTTAAAGCGTGGTTAAAACATATATGAGGGAGTAAATTGAATGAGTAATTCAGCCCACCCCATTATACACATATAATAGTATGCGTGTGTAAATATATATATATATATGTATAGAGACTACGCAGAGTGTGAGAAGGCTTTCTGTTCTTCCACCCCAGCGACTTGCGCCCACAGCCTCAACCATAAGGCTACCTGCACAAGTTGAAGAAAAAAAAAAAACACCCGTTGTATAATAATAGGTACGTCAAAATGAGCACCAACATTGAAAGACTCCACAGCGAAGATGAAGTCGCTTATAAACTCAAAGGAGAAATTGCAACAATAGAAAAGGAAATAAAAAGTTGGTTCATAAAAAGGAGATTAAACATGGAGCTAAACTACTCCTTATATAACCTGTTCAATAATTATAATATTGTGGGACTCTCCATTAATAAGAATATTGACATGAAGGAGAAGATGTTGTGGCACGATATTGTTAATGGAAAGCCAGACCTAGAAGACACACTCAGCATGGATGCAAAGGAGTACAAGGCAGACATGTACAACCAGATGTGGCATAACAGCACAACTAGCGAAAATCCTTGTAGATTAGTGGGATCAATTTTTTTTAGGTGCTTAAAAAATAATTACCAATTAACGCAAAATGAACGAGAAGGCACCTGCATGCACAGTTTTTCAAATTTCACCAATTGCAGAAAGGCCTTGAAGTTGCAGCAGGCCAATAATATAAAAACTGCTCTCACCAAGCAGCATGCCGAGGACACCCATGCGAAGGCTCTCTTTCAGAGGAGGAGTTCACTGTTGGAGAAGTTGGCGGAGCTAACTGCTTAGAGGGGGAATCGCCTCGCAGTGGCCTACACAAATAAGCGCTACACACAAGTAAGCGCAGCAGCACGAAAAAAATAACGAAGCAACAAATAAGAAAAATAACGAAGCGGTTGGCGCTACCTCCCAAGTGGAACGATTTTTCCCCACCACGTGGTGCCCTCACCAACCCCTAATACTTCACGCCGCCCATAAAGGTACGTGCGTCCGGCACCTGGCCGTTAAACGCGGCCGAGGAAAAGTCAAAAGTGGGGTACTCATTCTGGAAGCGCTCTAAAAGTATTTTCTTCCTGGTGTTATCCTCATCAGCTGCATTAATGCATTTGTGCCCCTTAAAAACGCTACTCCATGTTTCTGCCTTACGCACCTTGGTTAAAAGTATGTGTAAATTATTGTCCTCAATGAACCAGTACGAGCACCCCTCGTCGATGAGGCCGGACAATTCTCCCTCCAAAAAACTTTCCATTCCCTTCAACCCAATTCGAATTCTCTTACTCTTAATCTCAATGTCTAGGTCCTTTTTACTAACCACCTTCGAACTCATGTTTATAAAAATGTTGATCTCGTCGATGCTCTGCTCCCATTCGTAAATGACCACGCCTGAGATGACAGAAAAAAAAAAAAAAAAA